CATTTGATGGACTAGCTCACAAAGCTTGAGCGCTGCCTCCTGTACTTCACTCCACACTTAGGTGTTAACAGATCGTTAACATCCAGGCCTTGAGATGTCAGATGTGAAAAATGGCTAGGTCTTTTCTGAAGTTACATTAAGCGAGCAATTTTGATGACAGAGAAAGCCCAATTGGTCCTCGAATGAACTCTTTCATCTAAGAAAGCTACTCTTGTATCAACACAACAATTATAGTCTTGCCATGTGGGGTTTTGTAGTGCTTCTAGAGTCATGTTCATTTCTCAGAATCTCCTACTTGCAACAGAATGAAGCAATTTTTCTATTACTAAGAAATTTTGCTTACTGGCTGCTTTCCATACATACTGTGGAAATGCTAGCTGCTGTCCACTGGTATAATGTATGATTCTAGGATTTAATCATTTTTTTTTTAGACTTATATCTCAGTCCGATGATTTCTCTGTACTCCACATGTACCTGTAGATTACTGAGAAAACACATCACTCTTACAAGAATTATACATTTCTTGGATGGCTCACCTGCAGTTAGTGGTAATTTTCATGTTTAAGTTGATCTACATATGTTGCATCTTGCAGCAGACCAGCAGCCATGTTCCAGGAACTCAATAAGCAATGCGTCTACGCGTTTCGCAGAGCCCTCACATGTGTGTGTTCTTGGTAATACATGTAACCAGGAAAGTCTCACCTGCGGTACTTCAAGCTCACATGAAGAGAAGAAAGGGAAGGCCACCCAGATGATAGTCCACCTGCCTATATCAGGGTTTCACATCTTTCAGAGAGTACAGGATTAGGTTGCTAGTCCGAAAATTGGTTCAAGTATTCCAAAACGCTGCCGCCAAAGCTCTAACATATTTCAGAAAGTGGGCGTCCTCAGTTGCAATGTACCTTTAGCTAGAGTAACCTTTAAGGGATTTTGCATCACCTAACATCACAACTGGGCTTTTATCCACAGTCAGCTCAATACTGTGTGCATAGCACCATATACTACCTTGATGTTTGACTGCACTACCAGATGAAATAAAGCTCAACCTTTGGCATTGGTAAAATAAGGTTTTGTTTCTCATCACTTGCTTTGGGTGTTGCATTATACAAATTTGTGCAGTATAGAAATCTCTTGGTAAGCAACAGCAGCTAGAATTCGAACTACATGTACTAACCTCTTGGTCCAGAGGTAGGGTTGCTAACCATTGGTTTACACACAACAGTCATGCCTTCAAATATCAGAGTTATCAACCAAGAATTGAGGTGTTCAAAAACTCGTATTTCCCAAGAACTGTCGTAGAGTGGAACTCGTTGCCACCAAGCACAGTAGGGGCATCATCACTAGAAAGCTCAAAGAACAACTCCTGCAATTAAATGCACAAAGATTGAGTGTAACAAGTCGTTCGGTGTGATATAGCTAGCTGCCGCCGGGCTGCGTGCCTGCGAAGCTGGTGTGTTACGCTGAAGGGCGGTTATACCGGCTATACAGATACAGACATACAGATACAGATACACACATGCTGCAAAGAATGGCTAAATGTCTTTTCTGATAACCCAGTATGGGCCATATGCATCTACACGTGACTGTCCATCCATCTTCAAAGGACAACCTTTCGTGATGTGACAACGAGCAAAGAGCTTTTGAAGAAGAAAGTCTTGTCTAATGACTACCTTTTGCATCACATACTTAATGCACTGCCTTTTATCAAATATTCAAAGGCTACACACATCCCAATTAATTGATGCCAATCAATAGACAGTCACAGTTATCAAAGTTTCAAGGGCTCCTCACCAATTGTACAAACCATTTCGGGTGACAGTTTCTGGTCTTTTCCTTCAGATATTCTGCCCATTTTCAAGCCCATCTGCAC